GCTGCCGCACGGTGCCCCTCGACGCCCTCCGGACGCGCTGCCTCTGTGACCGGCTCTCCACCTTCGCCATCTTAGCCCAGCTCAGCGCCGACGCGGTGAGACGCCGCGCGGGCGGACGCGGGGGCCCCGGCGGGAGGGCGCAGGTCGGCGGGGGGTGGGGGGACGGGCCTGCGCGCTGCGGAGGGGTCGGTGCGCCCCTGGCGCGGCGGGGCTCAGACCCCCGGGGCCTCTGGAGTGCGTGGGTAGGAGCTGGCCGAGTGACAGGGAGTTGGGGGACAGGCCTGGGACCTCACAGAGTGACTGTCGCCTGGGCCCGGGCTCCCCAAGTCAGCCTCACGCTCATCTCCTCCTCGGGTCTTCCAGCGAGTCCTTGACGGGAGGGGGGGCCTCAGTGGCGAGGGTGGCCCTGAGGCTCCGGGCCGGGAGGACAGCGTGCTGGCCACCCTCTCATCACCTACCCGCCGACCCCTCCGCCGCCAGCGAGGTCCCAGCCTCCAAGGAGAGGGGACATGGAGGCCTGACCCCGTTCTTGGGGAGCCTCACTGGGGGCTGGGTGGCAGAGGCTGCTGGGCCCGGCCCAGGTGGCCCTCCCCAGGAAGGCCCATCATCCAGGGCCCTCGCTTTTTTTTCTTCCTGTGGTTCTTGTGGGGGCTGTTGGTTTCCATGGTGACGGCAATGAGGGCCAGCAAGTTGCCTGGGGCTCTGGGTGCTGGGCTTGGTCCACTGGGGCTGTGGGCCCCCGTCGCCCGGGCCTGGCACGCCCGCTGGCCCCAGGAAGGCCTGGTCGCTGTCACGGGCAGGCCTTCAAGCCCTGGGAGGAGGGAAGGGCTGGGGTCTTGGCTCATACAGCCCCTCAGCCTGACCTGGTTGGATCCACACGGGGCAGGCGAGAGGCCAGGCTTAAGGGTCATGGTGCCCAGCGCTGGTCCCAGAGGCTGGCTGGGGAGCTGTGCTCTGGACGTCCAAGGTTGCAGCCTCTCTGGGAGGGTGGGTTCTGGCCATGACCCTCTGGCTGAGCCCTCAGGCGGCCCAGCGTGCAGTGCGTGTTTATTGGGGTCTTGTGGGTGGATGGGGTACTGTTGCTTAGGACTCTCCAGAACTGAGGGGCTTGGGTACAGAGGGGGCCTTCAGAGGAGAGCAGACCTTATTCAGGTGCCACTTAGGAGGGGAAACTGAGGCAGCTCCCTGGGGCAGAGTGCCGACATTGAGACTGTGAGAGTTGAAGGGTCAGCTTGACTGGGGGGGAGTCAAGAAGCCCCATGCCAGCCTGACCCTTCTCAGTCAGTGTCCCCCAGGGAGGACATGAGGCTTAGGGCACAGGGGCCTGCAGTGGCCACAGGGCCATCCCCGTGGGAGGACCAAGGGCAGGACCAGCTTCTCTGAGCCTCTGCTTCTCCATCTGTGGTGAGGGGGTGACAGTCACCTCTGCTTGTCTGAGGTCCCCTCAGGTGAGGGGGGCTGAGTGCAGGACTATAGGGGCATGGGGAGCAGGGGTTAAATGGCCTCTTCCGCACTCTGTGTCCTCCCCCAGTGAAAAGACAGGTGTGGATGGAGAGGGAAGGGGAGCCCCCCCTAGCACACTGGCTGTTCTGTCCTGGCTGTGGATAGCAATGAATGTGGGAGCAGGGTAGATGGGGTCTCAGACAAACCTGGGGAGTCAGGCTGAAAGGAGGGACTTGGGAGCTCCAGGCTTCCTTCCTGGAGAGCATTTGCAGGGAAGCATTCAAGGAGATGGAGTGGGGCTCTGAGGGGTGAATAGGAGTTCAGCTGTCCAGTCTATCCCAGTGAGAGTTGGAGAAGAAGCTGCTGGAGTGTGGTGGGGCGGTGAGGCTCTGGGCTGTAGAGGCCGCGGAGCAGGAGAAGGTGGTCCCCACTCGGGCTAGACACAAGCTTGATGTGCACCCCTGTGGCCGAGGGGGCTGCGGTGGGACTGGGGTGAGGGGAACGAGTGGGCGTGGAGAGCAGCCCAGTGGGCAGCTGGAGTGGGCTGAGGTGAGCAGGGTCGGCACGAGGAGCCTGGGAACTGGCTGCTGGGCACCTGGAGGGCATGGAGTGGGTTTCTTAGTCCTGGAGTCCATTACGAGCTGATGGCCACCACTGCCGGTGCTTCAGGGTATGTGATCCTGGTGAGAGAAGACACAAAGCATGGTGGTGAGACCAGGCGTCCCCTCTGGCTGGCAGGCGGGGTGCAGTCCGCTGGGCTTCTGCCAGGTGCATGACCTCAGGAAGGTTAAGTGACAAGTCGGGGTCACACCTGTTTTGAAGCTGTGACGGGGTTGGAGTATGTGATGTGTTTACGGCACTCGGCACCCAGTGGCGCTGTAGTAATGGTCTGCAGAGGCCAGTTGTTAGCTCTGTGCTGGAGCATTCCAGTGTGACTGGGGTCCACACCAGGTGAGTGGGGCAGGGAGGCTCAGTGAGGAATGGAGTAGGGGTCAGGTTGTGACCAGGGGCAGGGTTCAGCCTATAACCAGGACTTAGGCTCCGCGTGGCTTTGGGATTGGAGTCGAGTGTGTGATCCCGGGCCGGACTTAGAGGTGTGACCAGAGTGAGGATCCGGGTAAGGCCGGACTCAGGCCCAGCATGTGCTGGGATCAGGGCTCAGCCAGTCCCCAAGGTCATGAGGCGGAGTGTGATTGGGTAGAAATGGACCTGTGGCCTGGGTTGGGACTCAGTGTATGGGCCTTTGGGAGCATGGACAGTTGAAGCAGGACTAGGACCACACTTGAAGGAAGAGTCATGAGTGTGTAGGGTATGTAGAGGGTTCTGGAAATGACAGAACCAGAGGCTGGACCAAGGCTGGGCTCAGCGTCCTATGGGGGAAGCAGGTGTGTAACCCGCAGACGTAGTGGCTGTGGAGAGGCTGGGGGTGAGTCAGAGCGAGAGATGCTGCTGCAGACTAGGTGCTTGAGTCTCTGAGCTCAGAGAAGAGCCGCCTCTTGTCCCTGTGAGGGCTGGGGAAGGCATGCCCAGAGGAGCAGCATGTGCGAAGGCCCTGGGGCAACTTGCACATGCAAGGGTCCTGCCTGGACTCCCTGCCCCCTGCCCTGGCGCACTACTCAAACCCTGCCGGCTGAGGCTGTCGGAGGGACCGCTGAGCCAGGTGGGGAGGAGGCAGGAGCAGGTGGGCAGGTGGCCTGGTGCTGCCAGGCCTAATGAGGGCAGATGAGGCAGATGGCATGGAGGCCAGGCAGGAGCCGGCTGGAACAGGTGTGAACCACTTACGCAGTCGTCCATGACCTGTGTACATGTGGCCGGGGGCTGGGCCGGTGTCCTGGCAAGGGTTGCTGGGGTCATCCTGACCTTTATCAGCCCTGGGCCTCAGTTTCTCCATTGGTACACCTTCAGAGATGGCTCTGGACTCAGTACTTGGGTTCTGTTAGTGCTTGCCTTTCACCTGCAGAGGGACTACCGAGAACCCCAACCTGGAAAGCACTGTCAGGATTCACAAAGTGAGGTGTGGGCGGCTGGGCAGGCATTTGTGGGCAAATTCACACTCTGTGGAACCCCAGCCTCCTGGGTTAATCCCAGGGACCCACCTGGAGGAGGCAGCTATAGCACCAAGCAGGATGGTGGGTTGCTGGGCTTCTACAGGAGAGAAGCTGTGTGGCCAGGATCCTGAGGACTCTGTACCAAGGCACTAGGCTAGGCAGGTGTGGGGCAGAAGAACAATTTGGGGTGCCTCCTGACCTTGAGGGGGAGCTAGGCTGGAGGGGTGGAGGATAGAGAGATGAGAGACAGGTGTGGAGGGGGCTGATGGGCCCCCATAGTTACCATGGCTTGGGAGTAGAGGAAGCTGGACCCGGGGGAGGCTGGATTCCAGGGGTCTGTGGCCACTAGGCTAAGGGCCACCTGAGGTGAGAGGATACGTTGGAGGAGCAGAGGGCGGTCCTCAGGACCCTGTTGACATCAAAGCCTGGAGCCCAGGAGGAGGAGGCATGTCTGAGATTACCCATGAATTTAGAATGGAGCTGGCTCCAGTTGAGGCTCAGCTGTCTGAACCACTGACCTGTGCCTGCCTGGGCCAGCTGGAGGGGAGGGTGGTCACAGGACAGAGTATCAGCTGCTGGACCTGGCATCTAGCAGCTACCTCCAGCAGAGGGACCCAGGTGGGAAAAGACTATCCCCCAGCAGAGGACGCAGGTAGGGACAGACTATCCCCAGCAGAGGGACCCAAGCGGGCACAGGGTCATGGCTAGAGGGGCATGGGGTCAGGGAGGGCTTCTTGGAGGAAGTGTGGACGGTACAATCCTGTGTGGATGGGAGCACAGCAGTGTGGACACCTGCTGCAGTTGGACCGATGAAGGGGGCTGGTGGGTGCCGACCTCGAGTGCCAGGCTCAGAGCTGGGGGCGCACTGAGGGGTGAGCAGTGAGAGCTGGGGTTAGCTGTTCTGCGGGTGTCATGAGCTCGGGGTAGGGGTGCTCCTAAGAAGCTCATCCCGTCCAGGCTGTACCCTCCCTCCTCACTGGCTGCCAACAGTGGGTGGGGGCTGGGAGCCATCTCCCCTTGGTCCTCTATTTGTGAAAGTCACACGAGAAGGTGGGAGCAGTGACCATAAAGCTATTGAGACCCTGCAGCTGTGCAGCAGCAAGGACTCAGTGCTGGGGGGGCATCTCAGGGACTCAGACTTCCTGATGGGGAGCAGCAGCCACAGGGGGAGGGGAGCCTTCTCCAAGGCCTGGGGGCACCATGGCCGACTTTGAGCCTGGGGGTGGGAGTGTTGGTGAAAAACAGAGCCCAGGGTGAGGAGCAGGTAAGAGGTGGGCATGTGAGACCAGGCCAGGCAGGGGCAGTGTAGAGGAGGTGGGCATGGAGTTGGGGGCCATAGGAGGAGCAAGTGGGACAACTTGAGATGTGAAGGAGGTTAGAGTTTGAAGTGCTGGTTGGATGAGCTGGAGCTGGGGAATGTTGGGGGAGAAGACCCCTCCACAGAGAGTGGAAATGACTGGAGTGGGCCAGCTCTGATGCCTCTGTTGTCTGGCATAAGGCCCCTTTCCCTGGACGGAGTGGGGTCTATGATGGAAGGCTGAGTAGGAGCTCTGGGGGACAGGAAAGGACCTGGGAGGGAGCCTGGAACTGCGGGGTGAGGGTCTGGACTTGGGAAGAACAGGCCAGCTGCCTGGGTGCCCTCCCTGACTTGTGTCTCTTGCCCGGCGTGGACCACAGAACATGGAGAAGGCCACTGTGCCATCGGTGGCCCTCATCGTGGGCTGCGGCGTGTCCTCGCTCACCCTGCTCTTACTCATCATCATCTACGTCTCTGTGTGGAGGTGAGTGCTTCCCGAAGGGGTCCCCCCACACCAAGCCTCTCCATCCTGCCCACCATTGGCATGGGGGGTTCCTCTGCCCCACGCCATCCCCCAGCCTGGCTGTGACCCTGTCCTCACCATTGTCCCGCTGCCCTCCCAGCCTCTCTGTTACCTCTACAGCCTCAGCCTTCACCTGTCCGGGGTCCTGGTGTCTATCACATCTGACACTGAATGCCATCGACAGGGTGGAGGATGATAAACTCTGGTATAGAGTGGACATAGACCCTGCCCATACTTCTCCCTGTCCCAGTACACTGAGCTCTTTGGGGGCACTGGTCAGCACTCACGCCATTGGGCACTGTGCGGCCAGGGCTGCCCTGTCTTGTTTCCTGGACAGGCAGGGCCTCATGGATGTGGGGTTGAGGCAGCCCAGGGTTTCTGCCACCCCCTTTCCTGGAGGCAGTAGGTGCCCACCCTAGGGGCTCCTTGTTCGTTTGCCTGGCTCTCTGGGGAAGCAACTTGCTAGATAGGGCCACACTAGCCTGTGTGGGAAAGATAGGCAAAGGACCTGGGTCTGAGCCAGTGAGGCAGGCTGTCTGTCAGGCGGGGGTGGGGATGAGTATCTGACCAGCATGGCCTCAGTGTGTGAGGGTGACATCCTGAGGGGGACATGACTGCATGCCCTGCCCCCAGTGGCCTGGTCTGTGCCCCCTGGGAAACAGTTTGAGAGGGAGGGCCAGTCCAAGGTCACTCTGCCAGGGCACTTGCCCACCAGGCCCTTGACTCAATGCACCATGCCTGGCTGCCCCTGCCCATGGTCAGCACCATGTCAGCTGATGATCAGAATTGACAGCCTTTCGCTCTGTGAGCTGATGAGAGGTCGATGGACTCGATAGGGGTAGCAGCGCTTTTGAAGGCACCATTCACCCTCCTGTCCTCCCTGAGGGCCAGCTGATCTGGCCCTGAAATGTCAGCATCAGCACCCACCTGACAGAACTTGGGAACAGGTGTAGCAGTATAGCTGGATGAGAGCCAGAAACAGACAGTAAAACCCGGCAACAAACTGTGTCCCAGGAGAGACTGGGAGGGAGATGACCTGTAAAGGGATGAGCCATTCTAGCTGGAGGGCCAGCTGTGCCCTTCTTGGTGCCCATTTGTGTGCCATGCTTTGATGAGGTGACACTAGGAATAGTGTTGATGGTGGGGAGGGCGATGATGGTGACAGAGGTGTTAGAAGGAATTAATGTGATGGGTGGGGGGTGATGACCAGTGGGCCTGACCAAGTGTGTGCCGTGTTCAGCTTGGTCAGGATGAGCTCAGCTTGCTGAGTGGGGACAGTGATGATTGTATTGGTGGTGGTGAAGATGATGATGGTAATGCCATGATGATGGTATTGGTGATTAGAGAGGTTGGACGAGTGATGGAGTTGATGATGGTTATAGAGGTTCCGGAGTTATTTATGTTGGTGATGGTGATGGAGGTGGTGATGACAGTAATGGTGGTGATGATGATGAGGATGGTGATAGAGGTGATGGAGGCAACAGTAATGATGGTGGTGATGATGATGGAGGTTTTGGAGATGGTAGTGTTGAGGATGATAGAGTAGTGATGATGATGGTGGTGGTTATGGTGGTGGTTATGTCAGTATTTGTACTTAGAGAGGTTAGACTAGTGATAGTGTTGATGATGGCTGTAGAAGTTTTGGAGTTATTGATGGTGGTGATGATGGTGGTGGTGATGATAATGGCTGTAGGTTTTGGAGATGGTAGTGATGATGATGGTGGTGATCATGGTTGTAGTGATGATGGTGGTGGCGATGATAGTAGTGGTGATGATGATGATGGAGTGGTGGTGGTGATTTGATTGTGGTGGTGATGATGGTGGTGGTGATGATGATTGTAGTGATGATAGTGATGGGGGTGGTCATGGTGGTGGTGGTGGCGGTGACGGTGATGGAGGCTGTGATGGTGGTGGTGGTCATGGTGGTGGTGGTGGTGGTGACGGTGGTGGAGGTGGTGATGGTGGTGGTGGTGACGGTGATGGAGGCTGTGATGGTGGTGGTGGTCATGGTGGTGGTGGTGATGGTGGGTGTGGTGGTGGTCATGGTGGTGGTGACGGTGGTGGTGGTGGTGGTGATGGTGGGTGTGGTGGTGGTCATGGTGGTGGTGGTGATGGTGGGTGTGGTGGTGGTCATGGTGGTGGTGACGGTGGTGGTGGTGGTGATGGTGGGTGTGGTGGTGGTCATGGTGGTGGTGTTTACAGTGGTGGTGGTGTTTGTGATGACGGTGGTGGTAATAGAAGTGGTGGAGGTAGTAATAGCTATAATGGTGGTCATTCTAGTGGCTCTGTGTTTGGAAACTGTAGTGATGATGATCATGGGATGGTGGTGGTGGTGGTGATAGCAATGGTGGAAGTGGTGAGGGAAGTGATGATGATACCTCTACAGGTGCTGAGTGGTGGCAGTCGTGATGATGGGCTAGTGATGGTGGTGGTGGTTGTGGTGATGTGAGTGGTAGGAATAGAGATGGTGAAGGTGGTGATGGTAGTGATGAGAGTGATGCCAGGTGCTGTTGAGATTCTGGAGGCAGTGATGTTGATGGTGACGGGTGTTGTGATGGTAGTGGTGAATGCGGTGACTAGAGGGTATTTATGGAGGTGGTGGCAGTGATAACGGTGGCTATGATTGTGGTGGTTGTGGCGATGGTGACAGTAGTGACATTGGAGGTGATGAAGGCAGTGATAGTGGTGATGATGATGGCTGTGGAGGTGTTGGAGGTGGTGGTAGCATTGAAGGTGGTAGTCTTGGTGGTTGTGGTGATGGTGTTGGTGGAAGGAGGCAATAACGATGTTAGAGAGGTGGTGACGGCAGTGATGGTGATGATGATGGTGGTAGTTCTGGAGATTTGGGAGGTGGTGGACGTGATAGTAGTGGGGACTGCATGGAGGCCTGGGACTCTGCTCTTGGTGCCACCACAGAAGATGAGCTGCATGGGCGCTGACCACAGGCTACCGTCCTCACACTAGGTACATCCGCTCGGAGCGATCAGTCATCCTCATCAACTTCTGCCTGTCCATCATCTCTTCCAATGCCCTCATCCTTATTGGACAGACCCAGACCCGCAACAAGGTAGGCGCCCTGCTGTGCTCATCTTCATGGTCCCATGGGCTGGGGCGCCAGCAGGAGCTGGACCTGAGATTGTCGGGGAGCTTGGACCAGAGGGGGCTGCACCTCACCCCCAGTCTCAGGCTATCGCAGCCCCAGACCATGTGTGGTATAAGGGACCCTGGGTCCCAGAGTCCCCAGCTGTGTGACCCTTTGAGGTCACGCAGCTCCAGCTCCTCGGGCCTGCTGTGGGGGCCTGGGGTCAGAACTCATCTTCCTGAGTCTGATCCATGGTCTAGGGGCCCCTCTCCTGAGCCTCTTGTTGCTGTGACGTCTGGCTCCCAAGTCCGTTTCTTCGCTGTCCCCCTTCCCCTGCCAGCCTCTGGATAGCACAGGACATGATAATGCCCTTGGCTGGTGCTCTCTGAGGTGCCCACTGCATCCCCCACTGTGGTCCCTATGCCCATTCAGCTCTCCCCTCCCTGCCCAGCCCTCCACGAGGGCACTGTGCACATGCAGGGCCCAGAGCTGATGGAGAGCAGGGCCTGGCCAGGTTCAGGAGCTGGACCTCAGCAGAGGTGGGAGGGTGCGGTGACTTGCTGCGTGGCCTCAGGGTCAATGCACTCACTCTCTCTGCACCCCTCTCCCTTGCTGACTGAGTGCATTTGCACTTAGGTTGGTGCTGGAGGGACAGGATGGGCTTCTGTGCTTGCCCGTTGGGGGGCTGGTCCCTGGTTCCCGGATGATCCCCTGGATGCTGGGCTGGGCGGGGCCCTGGGACTCTCCTGCGGGGGAGTGTGGCCCGGAGCTGCCGCCCAGCCTCACCCACTGCCCGCCCAGGTGGTGTGCACGCTGGTGGCCGCCTTCCTGCACTTCTTCTTCCTCTCCTCCTTCTGCTGGGTGCTCACGGAGGCCTGGCAGTCCTACATGGCCGTCACAGGCCGCCTCCGGAACCGCCTTGTCCGAAAGCGCTTCCTGTGCCTGGGCTGGGGTGAGTGGCTCAGCCCGCACAGCCCCCTTCCCTCCCTGCCCTGCCCTCTGGCCGCCCCCTCCTCATAATCAGTCACCTGATGAAGTACAGGACGCTTGTCACCTGGAAAGGGCAGTTGAACAGGGCCCGCTCTTGGCCACATTGTGATGCTGAAAGTCCTGCCACTGTCATCTCAAAACACCCACGATGGATGGGTCCCAGCAGCTCTTCCAGAAAGGACTAGAAAGAAAAGCCTGGTGATCTAATTTTGAAAACCAGTTTAAGCCGATTTCTGTCCAAGATTATGCAAGAAAACAGACCCCCTCAGCCAGGGGGCACGCAGAATACAGTGACCACACCAGTGGTCTTGAGCAGGCAACTGTGAGGACGGTGCAGAGGGGCAGGTCACTGGGTCACAGCCACTCACATCCCACAACATTAGCTGGCTCTCACTTCTGCTAAGAGCGTGTCCCCATAGCCTGAGGTTCCCATCTGGTTGGCGTCCACAGCTTTCACTTGCCCCTGGTCCTGCAGGGCATCTCCTTGTCCACCCCTGCCCACCTCTCACACTCGGTCTCACCTCCTGTTTGGGGCCCTCGCTCTGCCAGCCTGGGAGGAGGCGGGGGTCCAGGGGACTGACTCATTCTCTCCGACTCTGCAGGTCTGCCTGCGCTGGTTGTGGCCATCTCCGTGGGCTTCACCAAGGCCAGAGGGTACAGCACTGTCAACTAGTGAGTCCCCACCTCCCAGAGCTCTCCTGGGGCGGCCTGGGCTGTGGCCTGGAGGCAGGGCCGGTACAGCCACAGCCCATCTTGCTGAGGAGAAAGCTGAGGCTTGGAGAAGCGAGGGAGAGCTGCTGTGCTGGAGTCTGAGCTCCAGGGGCCCCTCCTCACAAGTGACCCTTCCCCACTAGCCACTCACAACTGAGAGAAGGAGGGACCGCCTCTCTGAGCCTCAGTTTCTCCCCTGACAAGGTACAGGCTGGGCGCTGCTTGTGTGCCCTGACCTCCATCAAGCTGGTGGCATCTGGGAGGACCCAGGGTCAACTAGGACCAGGTCCTAGAACCTCGATTGCCAAAGCAGGAAGTGAAGATTCGAGAGGCCAGATGCTAATATGGGGCAGAAGAGCTGGGAAAGAGGGGTGTGAGGCCAGGGACACGGGAGGTTCTGGAGGGACCACAGTCTGGGGGGCCACTATGGGTCAGAAGTGGGGCATGCAGAGGGGTCAGCCAGACTAGAGGTGGGGGTTGAGGGCTGGGTGTGAAGGACACAGGCTGGACTGAGTGGGTGTGGCCTACCATTTAGAATTAGGGGAGAAGCCTTCAGGACAGAAGAGGGAGGGGCACTGGGAGGTCCTGGAAAGGAGTCAGTAGAAGAGGCTGGGGGAGAGGAGCCAGCTGGGAAGGGGCCTGGGAGTGGGGCAGGCCTTTTATCTTCCTCTGTCCCCCAACCCCTCTTGAGAAGCACAGCCCCCAGTGTTGTGGGGTGAGGGCCCCCTTGCTGACACTAACTGGCCTGTCCCTCTCCAGCTGCTGGCTCTCCCTGGAGGGGGGCCTGCTGTACGCCTTCGTGGGACCAGCGGCCGCTGTGGTGCTGGTAGGACCCGCCCCTCGAGCCCCCACCAGACCCTTGGCTCGCAGAGGCTGCCCCGGGTAGGGGAGCCTAGCTGCAGCATCCCTCTGCCCAGCCCTGGGGTTCAGCCAGGGTCCAGACTTCCTGCTGGCTGGTGCAGCCTTGCCCTGCCTGGACCCCAAGGGGCCTGTTGAATAATGATGGTGAGGGAGTGAGGAGGGTAGACAGATGAACCCCTGGGGGAGTGAAGCAGCAGAGAACTCAAGGTCTAAGCCCAGGGGAGGCGTGTCCACCCAAAGGCCCATGGGGCCTGGGGCTTTTTGTCCAGCAGGCTGCATGCCTCTCAGGTGTGCTCTGTGGGGGCAGCCTGTGCTGTTTGCTTTGAGGGGAATCAGACCTCCTGGAGCCCCAGGCTGTGTCCTTGTCCAGAGCAGATGAGGACAGGACAGGTGGGGGAGATTCTGGATCTTCCCCACCCCACTCCCAGGAAGCTCGCCCACCACCTGCTCAGAATCCCTGCATAGTCAGAGCTGTTCCCTAGCAGGGCCCCCTTCTCCATGGATACCCCACGCTCAGCTGGGCACAGCAGGGTGGCCGGCCGCTCTCCCTGACCCGCACCCAGCCCCGGGCTCTGCGCCTTTATTCCTCGAAGGCTCCTTTGCCGAACAGGCCTGTGCCCTGCATGCTAATGTCCTTCACACTAGCGTGGGCGCCATTTTTAGGGGGCCACTGGCCGCAGAGTAGGCCCCAGCCCTCGCTGAAGCTTGCCATCCCTCCATTCCCCTGGTGCATCAGTAGGGTGAGGGGCTGTTCCTTCCCAGCTGGTGACCTTGTACAGGGGCACCCCTAAAACAGGACGGAGTCAGAGTGGCCATCGTGGGTCACAGGAACTCTGTGGACAGTCCTGGGGGCCTGGACAGGGTCCCAGTAAGGAGGACATTGTGGTGACAGCTGCCCCTGTGCCTGGCAGGTGAACATGGTCATTGGGATCCTGGTGTTCAACAGGCTGGTGTCCAAGGATGGCATTACGGACAAGAAGCTGAAGGAGCGGGCAGGGTAGGGCAGCACCTTGGACCAGCGAAAACCACCCCGGGCTTTCCTCCTGTGTGCAGGGTGGGGAAGCTGAGGCCTGGGCCCTGGAAGTCCTCAGACACTGTCTCCAGGAGGCCCTGTCCTTGCTGAGGTCTGTGGCTGGACAGTGCTCAGCCCACGGTGGGCACTGGGTCTCAGGTGGCCTCCCACACTGAGGCTTTTCAGTACCGTGACCTCCTGTCCATGTGCTGCGTGACCCAGAGCAAGGACACCTCTCCCTGGGGACAGACCCAGGCTGTTCTGTGGGTCCTTCTCCCTTCCATGGGGGGTGTGGGCAGCTCATTTTGTCTCCACGTTGCCGAGAGAGCTGTGCACAGAGGTTGGTGCCCCAGGGGCGTCAGTAGGGCCTGGGGTGAGCTCTGAGACTGCATCAGCCCACCCCCAGGACAGCGGGAACCACTGGTGGGGTGGGAGCTGCAGGGTCATCCCTCTGTCCCCCTCACCCTTCTGAGCTCCTTGCCTGCTGCCCGCTGCTCGCTCTTTGCACCCCTTGGGGTCTCCGCACACCCCTCCCGTCTGTGTCTGTCATTGTCACGTCTCTGTCTGTCTCTCTGCTCTGTTCTTCCTCCTCCCGCTCTGTCCCTCCCTGGTGATTCCAGTTAGCTGACTTGGGCAGACATGACCCTGAGGGACCCCACAGTGGCCTGGGTCCAAGTCTCCTGTACCCCACATCCCTGTACTTGAGCAGAGCAGGCCTCTCCATGAGTGCCCCCCTGGTCCTGACCCAGGTCAGCAGGGCCCCTGGGACCATGCTCACCCACTCACACACGGGTGGGTGTGACAGTGGCCTGACCATGTCATCTCCCACAGTGACCCTCCAGGATGGTGTCAGCACCCAATTTACAGCTCAGCGTTCTGCATTCAGGTCACTTGAGAAGCTGGGGTAATGGGGCCTGAGCTCCAGCCAACCAGGACCATCTGGGCCCTGCTGCCGTCCTTGGGTGACCTCTTACCCGAGTGTGGCTGTGAGCAAAGCCACCCAGACCCCCAAGTGCTCCAGTGCAGACAAGAGGCACAGCGCACAGATCTGTGCACACACACACACGTGCATTCACCCACCACGTGTGTGTGGATTCCACACACTTATTCATATATGTGCACATATGCTCATGCTCCCATGTTCACCCACCCCACCAGACACGTGTGCACGCATTACACAGTAAACATGCATGCTCGTGTGTGCATGTTTACATGCTCATTCCACACGCACATGGTGCCCTTACATTGATACACTCCATGTATCCTCATGTGAACGCGTTCGCACCCAGCAACTGCACATTTGACAGCTCTGAGGGCAATTGTGTCAGAGACAGTAAAGTTGACACAGGAGAGAGCGGGTTTTAGGGCTGCTGTACATAGCGACTCAACGGCACCTCACGGCAGCGGCCTGCTGGCAGGAAGCTGTGCTGCAGTCCTGAAGGCATGCGGTTCAAGGCCACCAGCGGCTCTGCACAAGGATGGGCAGTCTCCTCCTGAGCCACTAACGGCCTCTGCAAACCCGCTGGGCGGTCGGCTATGGGTCAGTTCCAGCTCCGTAGTACACAGCCAGCTTCAGCACCGTCCACATGTGCACACATCGCACATTGATACACGTATATGTTCACACATGCACCTGCACATGGTGCACGCTCATGCTCACATATGCACGTGCACACCCACAGTGCACGCTCACAGTGCACACTCAGTGCACGCTCATGCTCACAGGTACGCCCGCGTGCACACCCACAGTGCACACTCATAGTGCACGCTCATGTTCACAGGTACACCCGCGTGCACACCCACAGTGCACACTCATAGTGCACGCTCATGTTCACAGGTACACCCACGTGCACATCATCAGTGCACGCTCATGCTCACAGGTACACCTACATGTGCACACCACAGAGGCCTGTGGGGTCCCTGCCTAGGTCTGCTGAGAGGCTCACTTCCTCTGCAGGGTGCCCCGGGTCCCAGGGTGCTGAGAGGCAATCTGGATCCTGACCCCTCAAACATATAGACAGGCCCGGGGCTGGGGCAGTGGCCAGAATCCAGGACTCAGGCTTGTTTGTGGAAACAGCATCCCGTCTGGGGCTGCGCTCAGGAGCAGTGAGGTGGTCTGGCCTGTGCCCTTCATGACCCACACTCCCTGCCCGGCCACCTGGCCCTGCCTGCTCCACACCCACAGCTCCCAGCCTGATGCAGAGGGGCCCCACCGCTGGGCAGAACTGTCCTTGAGGTCTGCTGGTCCCCACTCAGGAGGCCGCCCCAGGCCCTGGGCTTGACCCGTGTGCAGCGCGGCCCATTCTCTTTGAACCCTGGGTTTCAGTGGGCAGTCAGCTTCTGTTTCAGCCTTTTAATTTCACTTGCAGTGCGCTGCCCGAGCCCCCACTAGGGTGTGCCCTCAAATGTGCCAGGTGTGGAGTTATTTCTGCCAACGACGCCAGCGCTGATGCCACCAGTAACGCCATGTTAGTGCCTCCCCGACCCCACACTCTGGCTCCTCCTGGGTCTCCTGCCTCTCCCTCCTCTGTCCACTCTGGCTTCCCACCTTCCCCCTCCATTGAGTCTGACCCACGGGCTCCCCTCCCCTCCCTCAGGACACGGGGTGGGGACCACTGCAGCTGAGGGGTCAGGACCGTGAGCCTCTGTGACAGAGGTCAGGCTGGGCAGAGGCTGGGATCAGGCCGTATCACACTGTGATGGGACGGGGCTGCAGCCAGCCCGGGGTCATTGCCACTGTGGCTGAGGTGGACCTGTGCAGAGTGACTTCAGCCGTGGGGGAGGTCAGGACCCTCTCTGTGTGGCAGGACGGTGTCCTCAGACTCCCCGCATTGTGCTCCCATGTCCAAGCACTGCTCAGATGCTCGGGCTGGCCAGCGCTGGGAGGACAGTCCTGTGTCGAGGCTCTGCCACGGGTGGTCGGCCTCCTTGTGTGAGGTGAACCAGGCATAGGCGGCAGTTAGGACCCAGGCGTGTGTGACCATGTGTGTGAGTGTACGTACATGTGTGAGGGTGTGTGTGAGCCTGCTGTGAATATCAGTAAACGTGTGTGCTGTGCCTGAGTGCACACGGGCTTTGTGTGGGAGTGTGCACGTTTACACAGGTGTGTGTGCATGTGGAAATGAACGTGCATGTGTGAACACACATGTGAGTGTGGTGCTGGCTAGGGTGGAGCAGTGTGGAGGAGGGTAAGAGTCCCCTCGGCCTGTGGTCCAGGCATGACCACCCTTAGCTGTATAAGTGCTGGTGTGTGTGTGTGTGTATGTGTGTGTAGGGAATCGTGAGCTCAGCGTCCCACCTCTGTGCTGGGTCGGGTGTGGGCCAGTGGAGGTGTGTGGGCTTCCCAGCCACGAGGAAACCTTGGCATGCTGGCCACTTTATTAGCTCAAGTCCTATGTACACCCTGTTACAGTCTTGGTTGAACCCTCTTGGATCAACTCCCAGGAGTGGCCCAGGAGCCTGATGTCCTGAGCCTGGAAGACAAAGGGCACCTTTCTGGCCACGCCAGGCCAGTCATTTTAATTGGACTTGGGGTGAGCTGGGGGAATCAGCCAGGCTGACCAGGGTCCTTGAGTCCTCAGCTGAGAGGGAGGATTGCTCTGGGCCAGACTCAGGACAGCAACTGCCTGAGTCCCCTGTCCAGGTCCCTGTACATCCCCTGGCCTCCTTTCCCCCTGCCAATACTGGGGTGGACACCTCTCTTTCTCAGCTAGTAAGTAAGGCCTGGGCTCTTGACCATCTTGAGGGAACAGTCACACCTGGTGTCAGACTGTGACTCCTACATTTGCACTTAGGCCATCTCCGTCCTCAGGGAGCCCTGGCTGTGGATGGGGGAGGGATTCCTTGGGAATGGCTAGGGAGGGGGCCGTGGGTGTGGTTGGGGGCTGTGGGTGTGAATGGGGGAAGGGCTTCGTGACTGTGGGTGAGGGAAGGGCCCCGGGACGGGGTGGTGAGGTGTGGATGGGGAGGGTCCCCCTGGGGGTGGATCAGGGGGCATGGATGTAGATGGGGTAGGGCTCCCTGGGTGTAGATGGGGAGGAGCTACTTGGGTGTGGATGGGGGCGTGGGTTTGGATGAGGATGAGGAGGGGCCCCATGGGTTTGAAGTCCCTCAGTGCTGCCCTCTGCAGAGCTGCTTCGGAAGCTGCAGGGTGATTGGGGATGGTATTGTCTTCCTGTCCCCTGACCCTGGCATCTGTGGGCACAGGAGCAGTCTGGGGCAGAGGTGGGTGGGGCAGATGACTCTGGGGAGGAGGTGAGGAGGTAGGAGCACAGGTGGGGCTGGGTCTGCTTTGGGAGGGAGGAGCGTGCTCCTGCCCCGCCCTCAAGGAGGGCTGTGAGACCCAGAACATGGTGTTAATCCTCCATGTGTGGATGTTCACCAAGGATCTGTGCCCCTCCTTGGCCCCTCCAAGCAATGCAGAGCATCCATGGGTCCCAGCCCACCCCTACCCCACCCTCTGCCTTGAGCTGTGCTGGGCCTAGGGGGGCAGCGAGCACCCTCCCCCTACTGTCTGGGGGTCTGGACTCTGGGCCACTAGCTCCCCCTACTGTCTGGGGGTCTGGACTCTGGGCCACTAGCAGATCTGAAGGTTTCATCTGGGTGTGTAAAAAGGTCAAAGCTTCAGCTTTTCACCAAGTCTGTCCACGGCACGCCCTGCCCCTTCGGTTGGATGGGCCTTTGCAGCAGCGGTGCGGCAGCCGGGCCTTACGGCTCTGGTTCTGGTTCACGGTCGGTTAAGGAGCTGCATACAGCTCACGACCAGGATCCCCAGGCTGCAGCCCAAGACCAAGCAGTGAACATCATCTTCTCCAGTGCAGGACTCGCCTGGGCTGCTCTGGGGTCGGGGGGTCAGGGTCGCCCAGGCCTCTCGTGGCTCCAGCGCTGCGGGTCCGCTGGGCAGGCTCACAGTCACACTGCCTCCTTCCTGCTGCCTCTCCTTTTTCTGTCTGCCGGCCTCGAGGCTCGTCTCACACACACACAGACTCAGGCAGTTCAGGGCGTGGCCTTCTCTCCAGGGCCACGCAGCGAACCGAACCGTTCCCTTATCTCTCAGGGTTTGCCAAGGAGGCCTCATCTGAATAGTGAGCAAGGTTGAATTACAGTTCCCATTTCACAGTGCTGACCAGTCCTGCGAGGTGCGTGCCAACCACTGGCCAGGCCAGAGGTGTCATACCATGGTGTTTGCAGCTGGCCCAGGAGAGCCCGTTTAGCCTGGGCAAGAGTTCCAAACCCTCCACAGCACATATGGGCAAGGTGGTTCCTCAGAATTAGGGGAATCTCTCAGAGAACAAGGGAAAAGGCCATAGAGAGGGAGTCCTTTCCACACGGCCTGTGCATGGCCTCTTTGCCAGGGAGCAAGCTCATAAACACAGCAGTCCAGCTGTCCTGAGATGAGCCCACCCGCAGGTCGGGACGAGGGTGGCGGCACTGGGAGACTTCATCAGGCGGGATCAGGTTCTCCAAGTCTTGCATTTCCACTTTTTTTTTTTTGGGAAGTGGGGAGTGAGCGAAAAGATCGATTTATTAGCGGAGATGTGTCTCAGAACAAGGAGATCTCTTCAGAAGCGGGGGTAGGAAAGGCCTTGCCTGCCCTCTTTCTGGCACCTGATGACATTTAACTGGGAGAGTAACATTCTTGCCCCAGTCTCTGTCCACATTAACATACTAAAACCTTTAAGGGACATTCTCTGTCCACCACAGACCAGTCCACCAGGGCCTCCCGCCCTCTGCTCAGTACAGGGTTTGCGACCACACTTGGCCCTGGTAATGGCCAGAGCGCACATGCCTTGAGGAACGTGATCCTCTGGCATCTTCCTCGTCTCCTCTCCCCTCCGCCCATGAGGAGATGACTATCTTCAGTATGGGCCCTACTTTGCTCCCCCACTTTGCGTGGAAGCCTGCTCAAAAGCATGGAGCCCCTTGATGCTGCTATCACCCCATTCCAGGCACCTGCTTGCAGTTGGAAAGAACTTGACACACTGAAGATCAAAGCCAAGCCTACAATGCAGATTATACCGCATCACCAAGAAAACGCATGCGCACCACACACCTGCAGGCAGCAGCAGGGAGACAGAGGACTTCCCTCTGCTTGGATCCACAGTCGGCACCCATGGCAGTAGCAGTCGGATCAAAAAATGTGCTGCGTTTGGAAGCTGTGTTGTTAAGGATCCCTTTAAAAGTGCTAAAGAGCAAGGTTGTCAGTGTAGAGGCTAAGGTGTGGCTTATCCGGACCGTGGTCTTCTCATTGCTTCCTTTGCATCTAAAAGCTGGCCAGTGACTAGGGAAAATCCCGAAGACATGGTGGCTTGGGTGCTGGCGTTGGTGAAGAGTGGAATATCCCAGGGGCTGTGGTGAGAACAAACATCTGTGTGGAAGACGTGGGATGGGGGTGCTCCTTGGATGCTGGGGTGGTGAGGCTTCCCTTCACACAGTTGGGAGCATGTTGTCAGGAAAGTCCAATCTTTGGAGAAAGACATGCTGGCGGGTTAGCGAAGGAGAGGGTGACCTTACCCAGACGGATTGTCACAGTGGCCGCAGCGGGGGTGGGGCAAGGTTGCACTGTTGTTGGTGAGGTCACCATGAAATGTTGGCTCAGTGACACCTAACAACGCTTTAGATGGTCAGTCTTTGCACTGCCCATTCCCGTGAAGTCAGGCTGGAGGCCGACCTGCCTGCGCTGTGATCACAGCCCCCTGTCCAGGTGGCTCGTGGAGCGGCCGGAAGCCAGGTCCAGGCCTGCGGGCAGTGGCCTGTACTCTCGCTCTCTCCGTTGTCCTCCCCGGCTCAGCTCAGCCCCGTTCAGTTGGGCTTCACTCCCCTTCACCCCTGTTGTGTAAGTCCAGTCATGCACACAGCTCCCCGACTGTGAGCGGCCAGCTCTCACATTGCCTTCCCCTCAGGGCCACTGATGCCAGGGGAACGTGCCAAAGTCCAGCCCACTGGTCAGTGCTCACCTCCCCCACTTCTGCTCGTCTCACAGGCCCAAGTGGCCACTCCAAGCTCTCTACTCCCCAGCTTGCTCCTTCTAGTCCTGGAAGGGGGTTTCTCTGGTGGTTTCTGCCATGGTCTGGTCACACCCTTCAGGGCCCAAGTGTCCCCCACAAACCCTGTCATCGTTCTGCACGAGCAGCTGTCCGTCAGGCCTTCAGCCATCAGGGTGCTCGAAGTCCAAGGTCGCTTTCTTGGAGACATCTCTCTGGGCATGAGCCCCATTTCCCCTTCCCCCAATGAGCGTAGCCCCTTGGGTATTGCAGCAAAGGATGTGGGCCGGGATGACTGATACAGGCCCAGAACCAGACAGGAGGTCGTCTGCCGAAGGGTCGCTGTGAGGCAGTCCGTTCAGGAGCTCCTGCCTGAAGGGCAGACCCCTCACAGGCCCCCGGGGGTTGTGCTTTGCTTTCTTAACACTTTACAAAGTGAAGGTTTGTGACAACTTTGCCACTTTTCAAGTGTGTGTGCTTGGCCTGTGTCACTTTTGGGTCACCCTTGCTGACCTCTGTCGGCAGCTGCACACGAGTGGCCTGCGCCCCCACAGCCACGCTCCTTTCCTGCAGTGGTGTCTTCTCAGGCATGCTGTATCCTCCCTGGCACGTGCAGGTACGTGGGGGAAGCAGCCCTTTAACCAGACATCTGTAACATGGTCAGGCAAACAGCCTTTTAAACGTCCAGTTTTGTGAGTGTGTGGCCTCGAGCCCTGGCAGGCAGAACTCACACCCTGGCCCCTGTCAGTCATCTTGGACTTTACTCCAGGCCACTCGCCTCAGCGTCTGTCCACACTGCTTTCCTGTGAACCGTTACAGACGTCCATCGCCCCCCACCCTCCTTCTGTGTCCTCTTTCCCCACAACCAACTATTCCAGCGAGCCTGGGCCGGAGAGTGGCCACACTGTGCCGACAGGTGCAGAAATGACTGCCCACATGGGGTCGCCACCAGTACAACGCTGGCTCGCAGCAGATGCCCGCCTCCAGCCTGCCTACAGAGCCCACATCAGCTGGCCTTCCACGGCGCCCTCTTCTGGACCCAGTAGTCCTTTGCGACAGCCAGGCATAATTTAGAGTGTAGAAGCTGTCCATTGGCCAGCGTGGCTCTACTGGGGTCGGCAGGCCACAGCCCAGCTTGGGCCCAGCGCTGGTGTGTGACAGTCTCCCTGTACAGCCTAGGCCCACTCCTCGCTGACAGGCTCCTCTCGGCCTGCCTGCTGCCCATCCACCACCGCTGCTCCTGGGCCCCTTTGCTGCCTCGCTGTTGAAGACCTCGACACATAGCTCTCCGGGGAGATTCCTTGCTCTAATCCTCATATGTTCTGCTTTTCTTGCTCCCCCCACCCCACCCCAGTTTGCCAAACTTCTTTGGGTTGGCTTTATACAACCAGAAGGAAACCAAGCCCAGCACCAGTGAGTTCCACAAGGCAGCCCTTTCTGCTGAGTTCTTGCAGAGGACACCGCCTCCTTGCTCTCCTGCAGAGGCTGGTGGGTTTGAACACACTACTCGGGGCTCCTGTGCATGTAAATACACAGGTAAACTCTTTTCAGGCCCAACTCTTTAAATTGTGGCCCTTTCACAGAGCCACAAACTAACCACTCTCCTATAGATAAACCACAGATACTTTGTTTACATTAACAGGTTACAGTTTATCTAATTTGCATTGTCTGTTTGCCAGCCCCTGAAAGGCCGGGTTGTCCCCAGGATCAGATACAAGGTATCAAACCATCAGGTTATTTAACACCCAGGATATGGCAAAAGTAACAGAGCCTCTGAGCAGAAAATTAGGGGAAAGGTCAGGCTCAAGGGAGCAGGGGCTGTGTGGTCGAGCGGACCTGAGTTTCTCAATGTGAGAATGTGAAAGTTCAGCTTGTAGTTCAGTTTCCCGGCCCTGCCTCACCCCACCTCCCCTCCCGCTCACTCCACACCACACCTTGGCCTCATCTTTCTAAAGGGGTGGTACAGGCAGTCACCCGTGAATGTCTCAGACTCCCCAGAACAGCCCAGGGTCACGGAGCAGTGCAGACTGGGTAGGGCCGTTTGCTGAGGCCAGGAGTGGCACAGACCCCCTTTAAGGGCAAGACCACCACAGTAGTGTGGGGAGGGTGAACTACAAAGGACTGTGTGCATCTGGCGCTCATGGGGGTCTCCTCGGGGAAGGGGCCCTCCCACAGTGCATGGGTTACAGGGGTGGGGAGTGGGCAGGGACTGGACAGAACAGGGCCTGACGCCAAGGAAACCGGCCTTTCTGTTCCTGTCACTATGTTTCCATCCCTGGTTCCCTCCTGCTCACTTGTCTGTCTGTCGGGCTTTGTGTCTCTCTTCTCTCTTTCCTTCCAGAGCCAGTGCTCAAGCCTGGCCAGGCCCCTCCTCAAGGCCAGCTTGGACTGCAGTTAGGCCTGGACCCTTGGTTTGGGGCCCAAGGGGTACCTGACCTGAGGCCACCCTCACCTTTCTTCCCTGCTATCTCTGAGACAGGAAAGGAGGTCCCATCCAGGGGTTCTGCAGCCCAGCCCCCCACTAGGAGCTCTTGAGTCAGCAGGGGTGCACCAGAGAGAGTGCTTGGGAGTTGGGGGGAGGCGCTCATAAGTGACTGAGGGATGAGAAGTCCAGAGAGAGGCCCCGTGGATGGAGGGTGAGTGGAAGCTGGGGGCACAGAGCAGAGGGCCCTGCAACCCCTTAGAGAGCTGGCCTGGTCCAGCCCTGCAGCCACATCGATTGGGCTGCGGGGCTGAGACCCTGGGTGGCGGGGCTGAGTGGTCCCTTCTGTGTGGGCGTGGTGGGGTTCAGCCTGGCCCTGACCCCGCGCCCTCCACAGGGCCTCGCTGTGGAGTTCCTGCGTGGTGTTGCCGCTGCTGGCGCTGACCTGGATGTCAGCTGTCCTCGCTGTCACCGACCGCCGCTCCGCCCTCTTCCAGATTCTCTTCGCGGTCTTCGACTCACTGGAGGGCTTCGTCATAGTGATGGTGCACTGCGTTCTCCGCAGAGAGGTGGGCGGGGCGCCGCAGGGGCAGAACGGGCTGGGGCAAGGGGACGTCGTCTCAGGACCAGATCTGGGAGGCCAGAGGGCCAATGGGACACATCAGAGGGCTGACCCATCAGGACACCAGGGGTCAGCAGACTGCAGAAAGTGGGGACTGGCACAGCAGACACCTCTTCAGAAGCAGACCTTGGGGGGGCGGGGCAGACCCTGGAGGGTGGGGCAGGCTCTGGGGTGCTGGGGCAGACACTAGGACTAGGCAGATGGGAGGTCCTCTTGGGGCAGACCTCACGGGCCTAGGGCAGACCTCAGGGGGCTGGGGCAGACCCTGGGAGGCTGGACAGACCCTTGGGGACTTGGGCAGACCCTGGGGGCTAGCACAGCAGATATGCCTCAGCAGCAGACCCCTGGAGAGCTGAGGCTTGTCTGCCTGGGACCAAAACCCATTACAATGGGCCATGTGCGTGAGCAAAGCCAAGCTCCAGCAGCAACTGAGACTGCCTCTAGCATTTTCTAAACCAAACACCATCCCATCAGCCCCCTGGCTAGTTGTGGCACTGTGTCCTCTTGGGACACGTGTTCCCTCAGAGTTGTGAGGCCAGCATCTCACCCAGAGTTCTTTAGAAGAGCAAAATAGGTTGACAAATTCAGATGCTCTCTGAGGTCCTCACCCGCCTGTGCCGGGAAGTCTGGGAGACAGCAGCTGCCACCCACCAGGAGGAAATCCGTATCTGCGTTCATCCCAAGGAAAGGTGACCCACAGAATTTGGACATTCTTGAGTGTCGTTAATATCACACTAAAGTTAAATGCTGTTGAAGGTGATCCAAAAAAGCGATGTCATAGTACATGACAGGGACTTGACAGAATTCAAGGCAGAAGGGAGAAAACCTGGGATAAGGACCTATCTGCTTCTGTCTGAAGGGACTTGGCAGGAGGTCGAGAGCTCCTGAAGGATGTTCACTGTGTGGTTGTAAAAGATAACGGACAGTGCTGGAAAGGACGGGAGTCCCAGGACACACGCTGCTCACGTGGGGCCTGAACTGAGGACACTGCGTGGAAAGCTGTGTGGGGAGGAAGCTGCAAGCTACCTGCTCGCCTCAGCTCCGGCCCGGCTCACGCCACCCCAGAGCCTGACAGGCCTGGATTTGGACCACGGGGAGGCCTGAGGTCCCATCAGAGACAACCCCGCCTCCTGTAGCCGTTTGGCCACTCACTGAGGTCCTTGGCTTGAGTTGTGAGTCTGGACAAGGAGCTTCCAACATGGAAGATGAACTTTGAGAGCAAAGACCATCCGAAAAGACACGTCCCTGAGAGACGGAGCTGACAGGAGTCCTGTCACGGGCGGGGATCTCACCAGCAGGTCATGCCAGGGGCCTGCTCCCACTCTCGGCTGGTGTCTGTGTGACAGGACCTGCAGGATGAGAGAAAAGTACTTGTGCTACACAGAGTGGCCGCCCAGTGAGGGTGAAAGTGGGGAGAAGGCAGCTTCCGGAACAGTGACCAGCTGAATTCAGGAGGCACCGTGGAGGGGCCGCTGGCAGAGCAGGCTCTGTGGGCTGGCAGCAGGAGCTCAGAACCACACACACTCTGGGAGCTCCCCAGTGGCCCCGTGGCTGAGCTCGTGACGGCTCGTCGGGAGACTGGCCTGGCCATGTGCTCCTGGAAGTCCAGCCATCAGTCCTGCACAGCACAGACCTGCTGCTGTGACATGAATGAGACTCAGGGACTCACAACCAAGGGACACTTTGAAAGAAGAAAGGATGTGAACACCTGGTTACAGGTGTCCTACGAGGAAGGTGGAGGAGCTGGCCACGTGGGCACTGGGCAGAGGCTGGAGTGATCTGGCTGCAAGCCCAGGACCACCAGCAGCCAGCAGGGCCTGCAGAGTCCTTCCAAGGCCTAGAGGCTCTGCGGGATCTGACTGGTGACTGCAGGCTGCTCTCTAGACAGTGGGAGGACACATTTCTGGGCATTAGACTGTCTGTGGTCACATTTCAGCAGTGCCATCAACCCTGTCCACCTCAGCGTAGCGAGCTCACACCAGTATCATGTCGACAGGTGTCCTCCTGCCCTGGACACTGGGTGGTGAGGCTCCCTCTCCTTCAGCTTGTGCTGTTGGGGTCAGGATGAGGGGTCCGGAAAAGGAGGACATGATGGGCTTGTATTGCTGGCCAGGGGAAAGGCCTGCAGGGGCGCCCGTGAGGATACTGACTTTCCCTTCTGCCCCTCAGGTCCAGGACGCTGTGAAGTGCCGTGTGGTGGACCGCCAAGAGGAGGGCAATGGGGACTCTGGGGGCTCCTTCCAGAATGGCCACGCACAGCTCATGGTAGGACCCAGCCCGGGATGCAGGCACTGCCCACTGCCACAGCCCAGAGGCCCCACAAACCCCATTACAGGAGCCCTTGGCCCAGTTTGCAGATGGAGAAACTGAGGCTTGTCAGGGTGACAAGTTTGGGAGGTGCTGGTGGCACAGGCCACATTGAACCCCCGGAGTACCAGCCCCCCTCAGCTCCTGCCCCGTTTAACTCTCCCTAAAGTAAGGTCACCCCCACTCAGGACCCCTATGTGCCAGGCTTCTGCACCAGTAGTACTCTCAATGGCACTTCCAACTCAGCACACCCCACGTTGCACAAGACCGTCCCCCAAGCCCCAGGTGTGCCCACCCCCACCCCATCACATCCTCTATGACAGCAGCCCTCACTGTCCCCCATCCCCAGGTGTGCTGCCCCCACCCCCATCACATCGCCTGTGACAGCAACCCTCACCGTCCCCCAGCAGGGACGTGAACACCAGAACATCCCACCCGGAAGGAAAGCCAGCTCCTCCCTGTCCCCCAAACCCCAGGGGCTCCCACACTTGCTCTGTGCTGACTCTCCCAGAAGCCCAGCTTCCCCACCTAGCCCACATGCCCACCACAGAGCTATAGCTGTGCTGCCACCACCTCCAGGGAGCCCTCCCTTACTGCAGCATGGTGGCTCCATCTATCAACCAGTCGCTGACCTGCAGGCTCTTGGTCTGGTGAGGGGCCTCAGTGGCTATGAAGTCCTAGGCAGGTCCCCCTGGGTGAGTCTGGGTCTTGGCACCGTCGCAGCAGCATCTTCCACTCAACACAGGGTGTCCAGCAGGACAGTGACCTCTGACCTCTGTAGGCCTCAGTTTCTCTATCTGAAACAGTTGGTTTCAAGTATCTCTCCCTGGTTGTCTCATCAATGGATGCAGCCCCGCCCCAGCCTGAGGCTCCCAGTCCCTGATTTTCAACCTCCTGGTGGTAGTAGTGATATGACCACAAAGCTGTGGGGTGGACTCCTGACAGGTGCTCCTGTGCTGTATGTGCAGGGCTGGTGAAAGTCTGGCCAGATTGTGCCCCAAGGGCTGACCAGCCAGGCCCAGGCACGGGGCCTGCATCCGAGCCCCACGGGCCACTCTTGGCCCTCTCTGGTGGTCTCCTTGTCACCCAGAGAGCAGTGGTCTTGGGGCTGTTGTGACTGTCACATGGCCAGCCCTCAGCACACATGCACACACATCGGTGGTCCTGCCAGGATACCTGTTGTGTGCCCTGCTCCAGTGAAGGGCCTGGAGGTGGAGCAACCCTTGTCCATGCGGCTCAGGCTGGGGCACTGCTGGGCTGCGGCGCCCCCACTTCACAGCTAACCACTGGACCCTTAGAGGCAGAGTGCATCCACATGCATGTGCCCTCAAAAGTGTGATCGTGCATGCAATGTGCACGCGTATATATGCACACGCACACATCTATACGCACACGTGTATATGTGCACATGCACGTGTGTATATGCACACACGCGTGTATATGCACATGCACTTACATAACTCATGCATGTGTCAACACTTATATGCACACTCACCCTTGTGTATTCACATGCACACATATGCACAGTAGCACACACGTGTAAGCTCATATACGCACGCCCACATGTGCACACACGTGCACAGGGCCCAGGCCTATGCGTGGAGACCAGGTCTCCTCCAGCCGCAGCATGTGTACAGGCACGGCTGTAACTGGGACGTAGTAACTGTTGGTCTCACGCGCGGGCCCCACCCTGGGCTGCCCCACCGCCCCTCTGTCTTGCAGACGGATTTCGAGAAGGACGTGGACCTGGCCTGTAGATCAGGTGAGCGCCTGACAGGTGAGGACGACAGGTGCCCCTGCCGGGCCTGCTGCTTTTTTCTTGTCTGTGTGTCTGTCTGTCCATCTGTCTGTCCTCATTCCCCCCTCCCCTCGTGTTCCATCCCATGCAGAGAAGCAGAATCCTGCCCAGGACCCCTGGCCTGGGGGCAGATCTGACCTAGGTTGGCACCTTCCCCTCACGTGGGGCCTAGACCCCATGGCCGCCCCTCCTTTCCAGGCACAACTCTGCCCCTACTTCCCCTCCTGACAGGCAAGGTCCCAGGGCTTGGTCGGGAACAGCTGGAAGACCTCAGGCGGGGTGTCCTGGTTCAGGATGCCCACCCTGTCCCACAAGCAGGGAGGCTCCCTGATCTCAGAAGTGTCCCACAGACCCTTTCAGTCATCCGAACGGCCCAGCCTACCCCACCCACTCTCCCCAATGCCAAGAGTTCCATGTGTCTCCATGTCTTTATTGTCTCATCCCAGGGAGCATGGGGTGGGGAGCCCCCAGATGGGGGATCGGGGGGGGGGGGCAGCACAGAAGAGGCCCTGACTGCCATTGAGCTTCCTGGAAGCAAGTGCAAAAAAGGAATCAGCTGCCCAATAAAAGGAGGCCTTCCGGGTGGAAGCTCTGTCAGGGTGACCTGCCTGGAGACAACAGGGGAGACTCAGACCCCGGTGGTGGCCCCAAGCAGGATGTGGGGGCCAGGATGGGACTGGCGTGTCGAAGCCCATCGCCCTGGCCGAGGCTGACCGAGCCCATCCCCCACAGTGCTGAACAAGGACATCGCGGCCTGCCGCACGGCCACCATCACAGGCACGCTCAAGCGGCCATCGCTGCCCGCAGAAGAGGAGAAGCTGAAGCTGGCCCATGCACAGGCGCCGGCCTCCAACTTCAACAGCCTCCCAGCCAACGTGTCCAAGCTGCCGCTGTACGGCTCGCCCCGCTACCCTGGCACCGGGCCGCTGCCCGACTTCCCCAATCACTCGCTGACCCTCAAGAAGGACAAGGCCGCCAAGGCCGCCTTCGTCGGCGACGGGGACATCTTCAAGAAGCTGGACTCGGAGCTGAGCCGCGCCCAGGAGAAGGCTCTGGATACGAGCTATGTGATCCTGCCCACGGCCACGGCCACGCTGCGGCCAAAGGCCAAGGAGGAACCCAAGTACAGCATCAACATCGACCAGATGCCCCAGACGCGACTCATCCACCTCAACATGGCCCCTGATGCCGGCTTTGCCCGCAGCCCCCCGACCC